CGATCTTAACCCTTCCCAGGCTAAATTAATGAAGGGCTCGAGCTTAATTATTTTATGACAAAATAAAAAGACATAAAGTGGTTATGTTTTGTATTTATTCTGCTTGAAATAACTCATGGGCCATAAAAAGGTTTTCCTTAGGGCTGAACTAACTTTTTTAAAACAGTTATGAAGAAATTACATTTAATTTGACGGATATATCCGTCCACCTTATGTTTTTTTTGGGGGGCCAAAGACGTTCTTCAGGTTCATCATATTCATCACATTCTATACTATTATTTTCATTTCCAAGTATAAAATCCCCCCCAGACATACTTTTATCATTTTATATTACTTCATCTATGCTTCTATTAAGCATCCCATACTATCTTCAAATTTCAGATCGTTTGGATTAGTCACTTTAGCTCGATAACATAAAAATAAAGCACAAAACACAAAAAAAAAAATGTAAACTACACTCACTAACAACCATGTGTGAAATGATAGTTTCACAATATTTACTCACCCTATGGTGCAAAATAGTAGCCGGAATAGCTGGTGCTATTATTATACAAATTACCCATTTATAATGCAGTGTAATGTTTTTTTCCTACAGTTACCTAACAATGTACATGTTCTCTCACTGATTTGAGAAAGCAAAGTGGCCAATTCGCTCATCAGTGAGACAATGTTAACATTGTCTCACTCTAATTACTTTGTCTCACTCCAGATTTGCAACGTAAAGGCACGAAATAGTGAGCACGTAACATGCAGGCAACGTCGTATGCGCGCGAAGTACGTTGGCAGCACTGGCTGTAAATCAGCTGGTCAGCTGTTGTACTGTTGTATTTGTCACTTCACATTAAATGTTATATTAAAAGTTCACTGGGCAAAAATAGGTTATGTTTCTTCATAAATTATGGTAACAAATTATGGTTTTATGGTAACTGTACGAAAAGTATAATGTGCAACTCGAGTTCAAAGTACAATTTGCCTCACTCGAGAAACCATTCCTCACTCGCCTACGGCTCGTGAGTAAGGATTTCTCTCGAGTGAGTCAATTGCTCACTTTTCTCACTAGTTGCACAAATAACTATTTTTCTTATTATAAAGATTGGTGTATACTGATTATTTTTTTGGCTGGATATATCCGCTATAGCACAGAAAAGAAATTACGGAAAGAAAGGACGGATGTATTCGTTTTCAGCCTGGAAAATAAACAAAGATTGACGGATATATCCGTCCATAGCCCTGAAAGGATTTTAAGTCTCAGTAAAAATACATATACTGTAGAAAAACTCGTTTTTTCATGGCAACCACACTGACGTTACAATACAGTTGATATACTATTACGAAATCTTATGTTTCCATGACGACATCAACAACGTCAAAATCACAAAGATCTATAAGTGCAGTAAAAATAAGAATTCAGTATCCATAATAAATTATAGATTTTACGTTTACACGAAAACAATGAAAAATATCACGGTTGGTGTGTCAGTGTGTAAAAAGTACAAAATTAGTCTCGATTGCTACCATACATTGTACGTCATTATAGTGGTTGCTTTGGTGGTTAGGGGTTTCAACAATATTTCTTTGTGTGGTAGACCTCAGACTGGTAGATTAATTATGACCTTAAGTGTAAGTTGAACATGTCTACTAGGTGAATAAACTGAATACCATAGTTAACCTTCTTATGCTCTGTAAACAAACATGATTGTTTGATTCATGGGTAAACAAAAAAACTTATTGTTGAGAAAATTTTTGATTATTTAATCTTAGCAAAATCTACCTATGTACGTACAATAAGAAACATAAAGGAAGACAAAATTATGTAAAAAATGAAGGACAATCTTTTAGGTTTGGGCAATGGATAAAGGATAAATAATAAAGATATCTATCTAGATAAGTTGAAAACTTGATCTTATTCGAGTGGAAAGCTATTTAACATCTATGCTTTAATTAAAAGTCTGGAACTAAATCTTTGACAGTAAGAACAAGAGAAATGAAGTTAATTGCTTTGCTAAAGCTCCAAGAAACAAGGTTTTATATTCTCTTTAGATTTAAACTTTATCAATTAACTGGATATTGCAGTTTCAATATCCTGTTGAGATTATTAGCTTATTTACTTTTGCAAAACCAAAAAGGTTTATAGTACTCGTTTGTGATAAGATCATTTTTCCTTATGAAATAAAAACAATAGTTTACTCTAAATTTTTATTGAATGGGGAAAATACTTGTGAGGTTGTGAGTGTTAATGGGTCATAAGCTTAAAACAGTTATTTTGGTTGATTTTTATGACTTAAATCTAAATTACCCAATTTAATGTAAAAAAAATGAATAACTATTGATATACTAATTTGAAATAACAACTTCGCCAATATTTCTGAATTTTTAATTTTTATGAGGCCTTTCACCAGCTATGCTGGCATCATCAGACACATCACAAAACTGAAGGTTATGTTTATGTAATGTGTCTGATGATGCCAGCATAGCTGGCGAAAGGCCTCATAAAAATTAAAAATTCTGAAATATTGGCGAAGTTGTTATTTCAAATTAGTATTAATTCCAATATTAACAGTTCTTCTTGAAGATAGAACTATTGATATGAATATATTCAGTCGTATATTCCAACCTATATAAATGTCCATTTGTTTCATTGTATTACAATTCAGTGAATATTTTGAGTTTCGATAAAAAGAAATGTAAAAACCTTATAAAACAAGAGATCAGCTGATACGACGAGTGTATAGAACTATCAACTAACCGAGTTGCCATTATCCAACAGCTGTTCAGTTGATAAAGTGCAGGCTCATTCTAGTTGAAGTGGAACGCCATACCATCATTAGTCACAGCTTGTTTCCATTTAAAGTACTCTTTATTCAGCACGTATTTTAATTTTTAAAGTTTTTTTTTTAGTAAAAAGGTAGTAAAGTAAAGTTGTAAAGTAGTAAAAAAATGTACAATATTAGAATGTAGCTGTTTGAAAGATTATTTTGTTTAACCATTCCATAATCTTTTATACATACAATTTGGCGTTCAAATACTATATTGTTATTTGGAAACAGAATAAGCTATGGATATTCACAAAATAAAATCTCCAACACAGCAAAACCTTCCTCACCGATGGGACTCTAGATCGATTCCTTGAAACTCAGGGATTTGATTGGTCTACTAGACAGACTGCATCTATAAAAAAATAGACTGACCTCTTTTTTAAATGAAAACGTTCATACTCTCAAAAGTTAAAATGAGTCATTTTCCCCAAAAATTATTAGGTACACCCAATTTAATGTCCGATTTTCTTTTTAAAGCTTAAACTAGACACATTGCGAACGATTTTTAGGTAAACAAATTTCTCAATATCATATATTTCTTTATTCAAGTAAAACAAAAATGCAAATAAGAATCCTAAGTAGACAATATAATATTAAATATTGTTCTATATCATGAGACCTTAAATTGCAGATATATGTGGATTTTAAATTAACTCATAATAACACATGATAAACATTATGTAATTGAAATGGTATAGCCCAGATTAGTGATAAATACAATGCACGAAAACGGTCATTTATAATTTTTTTTTTACAGTACACTTTAGAAGGCATGTATAATACAATATAAAGCCTTAGCAATAACTCTTTCTACGCCATCACTTATGAGGTTATCTCTTACTTTACGGCCTTCTCAGGACGCCTCGTATCTTTTAATGTCACTTTCATTGGATGAACTGAAGATAGACAGCAATTTTACAAACGAAAGTTTGATGTGTACTTGGATAGTTATGATACCAAATAAAAACCTTGAAATATAAGTTAAGTTTATGATTTCATTACAGGTGGATCTTTGAATTTTTTATCAGAATTATGTTTTGATGTACAGGGGATGGTAGTATGGTTTGGATATTTGAAAGTAAGTTTATTGGTGCTTGTAAATATTGTATGACGAAAAACCGGAGTGTGAAAGACGAGGGAAGACATTATTATGTTTTCAGACGTGTTGTGGATCCTAATGCTTGAATATGAATAAACAGCAAAACAAGTTACTGCAAAAAAATTGTTGTTTATGTTTTTCCTTCAAAAAGCTTGAAACAATGCAAAAAAAAGGGTAAATAACTGTAAAGTGTTAATGTAGTACTAGTATGCTAATATAGTAGAACACGTTTCTGCACTTGGTTAAAATTTTAGCACCAGTACACAATAGCTCAGCTTTATACTGTACCAAGCTTACTTAAACTCTACCCAGCCAGCAGGTGGATGTAATGTTTGATAATGATTGCAAATGCTAAACCATTTCCACAAATTAACTGCTAACCGCTTACTAGATAGGCAGTTTCCCCCCTATAATGTGATTCGGAGCAAATGCACCATTGGATGACGCAACCCGGACGATTTAGTTGCAATGATTTATATTTAATTCTTTCATAGTCGAAAAAGGATACCTCTTTAACTATAGTGTTTACATCATTGAATATTTTTTGGACTTGCTAATATATTTGATATTTAACTGTTAAGGGTTGTCTATTATTTTTATACGGTACTTACTGTAGGTATGGGATTTACTGTATTACAAAATATTCTACTTTATTAATATATTATGTGAACAAACTTAACTTTTAAGTGTTTGAAGCATCATTATAATAATTTCCTACCACTGCATGGAAATGAGTAAATTGCCACACCTGTTCATATTACGCAAAATAGATCATTTCCGCATTAACAGATATTATAAAAATTGCATTTTGTGGAATCCAATAGACATAATTTAGTTTAAGATTTTAAAAAGTTTTATTGTTTAATAAAAAAGTCAATGTTGTAGAAAAATGTTTCAAATTTAGATGATGGTGACTCCCCGAGTATACAGCTTGATCCAAACATTAGCCGAATATCTTATCTAAGCGAAATCTTAGTCAAGAAAATGCCAGTTGAATACTTATAATATTAAAATTCTGAAAGGAATATATCTGTTTGCCAACTTTTTTAGTATGATACTATTATTAATTCTATTCTTCTTTTCAGAAAAATCTCAAACAAGTGTTTCTGCGTTACAGTATTTGGTGTTATGTGGTAAGTCTGAAAAGTATTATTTTCTTGTAATGTAGTAATAGAAGTATTTATTGTGTACAATAGATCACTTAGTAAAATTGTATAGGCCTAAGTATGTTTGGTTGTTGATAATTATCTGGTGTGTTTATATGATAGTTACGATTGAATTCAAACCTTTAAGAACTACCTTACGTTCAACAACAATTTTAATGATTAACCCCAAATAGTTGTTAACTTCCCTTTTATAATCTAATTTAACATGATTCATGACTTAATAACTCGCTGCACAGAATGTTAGGCGTCTACCCTGAAGGTGACTTGATGAACAGGCTATAAGCACCATTACAGTTACAATAATACAGGTTTTTAACACGGAAAATGGATAATGTGCATATTTCTAAATGTATTGGACAATAAACTCCATTCACTATCTAATTATTGTGCTAATTATCACAACCTATTTACAGTAATAGATTGATAAGCTTGCACAAAACTAAACCAAAGCTCTAGCAGTGTGTCGTATATGTTGTAGGCATATAGTTTGGAAAGTTCACTAAGCTAGAATATACTATTGTAATTCATAAACTCTGTGGACCGCAAGATCAAATGTTTCAAAACTTTAAAAAAATCCAAAGATCTACAGCTGAAATATTATTAAACAATTTGATCCAACGAACTTTTGTGTACACTCATCAAATTCAGAATTCGTGGTAAATATGTCTGCAAATAAAACGTATCCATCCACAAAATAATCACTTCAGGGCAAAGGAATTAATAACGGCAACAGCTTTTCGTGTAAAACCAAAAAACATTTTTTTAATTTAAACAATTTATGAAATTTTATTTTTTGCAATTTAGTGAGCTAAATAATAAAAACTCAATAATGCCGTCAATTATGTTTATCACACGAACCATAACTCTCCTTTTGACCGTCTATGACTTTAAAACCTAGGCTTTGCCTTGATGTTATACTCGAGCTCGTGTTAAACAGATTAATTTCAGGCTCATTTGATTAATATATACCTCAAACTGCAGCCAAAACAGCTGTTTTCAGCGTGAGCATTCCGGCTCTTACGCTTCTCTAATAGGAAACAAATCAGCTGGAGGTGAGGTGGTTGAGCTGAACATATCGAGAGTTGTAAAATTCGTCTGCTGTTTCTGCCGATGAAAATAGTTCCTTATAATTTGTGTTTATCGTCGTGTTAGATTGGATAATTCATACAATATACTCTCCTACCACAAATTGACAATTTAGTAGTGGTATTCATTGTGTATATACTGCCGAATATAAAGTATAATATAGGGAACAAGTCATGTAGTAGTGTTTCTGAGCGGTTGGCAACAATAAGAGGATGAACGTTAATATTAACGGCCGTCAAGGGAACTATTACACTCACCAGCGTTGGCCAAAGGATTCATCGCTTACAAAGGCTTTTACGGTCTGAAGTATCTTACATAAATTACATAAAATGTATGTAGTGCAGTCCATACGTATTAGTAATAGCGTTCATAAATTATTGCGAAAGGGGTTGACGTAGTTTAATGTCAATTAGACAGATTTATCTTAACAGTTTTTAAGAATCCAGTAACCTCCAGTGGGAAATCACTTAAAATGTGTAAACAAATACATTAAAAAATGGTATTTTTAAAACTGAATATTGCAAATGAGGAGGTAATAAAAAGTTTAAATCAATACCCGATATTTGCCCTATTTCTGAAATACTATAACATTTACGTGAAGAACTTAACCTTAACATTACTAGTGGCTTGTAGGGACATAAGTCCCTAAAAAGCTGAAATGTAAAACAACATATTGCAATTCCGGTATTTAAACAAACTCAGAATAACATTATCTATGTGTTAGAATAGGCATCCCTACACCATATCTTTTGTGTAAAAACCAGTTTGTTGTTCTTCTTTGTTTGCTTTTGTTGATGTTATTTTCCATAAATAATTTGAATCACTCCAGTGGTTTAACATGAAAAGGCAGCAAACATATCATTGTTTGTGAATATAAATATAACTGGTTTACTAAGGTAGCTTTGGTCTTGTGGTTAATGAGGATAAATAAAAGCTTCTCTGTTTGGAATTTTAAAAATTAATTGGAGGTTCGCCTTCAGATGAATTGAAGACGCCTGCAATTTCATCTGCAGTAGGCTTATTATAGGCTACCTACGACGATCCATATTTATCCTGTCTACAAACCTAAGTTCTAATTCACTGTCACCTTGTACAACCATTTCTTCCGAAGCTCTTTTGTAAATTTGTGCAAATGGATTTTCTAATAGAATTTCAGCTAGTTTTGACAATATTTCAGGTTTTAAGTCACTATTTTCTCGACGCCTTTGATGAATTTCTGTTGCTGTTGATGTGTCAATAATGTACAATTGGCCATACACGGGGTCTTCATCATGTTGAGGCAGCAAATCTGAGATTGAACGATAAATCTGTCCTTGAATTTTGAAACAGTATGGTCCTTTTCCTGGAATATCTTTCTTACTGGCTGAAAAATAAGCAAAAGCCATCGCACTGTTGTATTGTCGAATGAATTTATACAGTTGTGGGCTCTCTTCAAACAAATTTTTAAGTTCTACATTAGTTTTTGGCTGAGGAAGGTTAATAAGTCCGTTATGGCAACATGTCATAAAATGATTATTCTTTAGTTCTTCTCTAAAATGAAGAGCACTACATTGAATGCACTCTTGGTCCTGCATCATGGATATTTAAATTTCTCTCGTCTACCATGGGTCTCCTAAAAAGGGGTTGTAACATATCTTGATTAAGTTCGTCATTATCTACTCTTGCTCTTCTACGCGCACTGTCATTCCTATGAACAGCTCCCCGCCTTTGTGGTCTTCCCCTGGCGTTCATATTAATTACAGTACTTATAATGAAAAGAATATATATCCAGCAGCCTACATACCAAAACATCTTGAATCCCTGGCGATTTTATAAAAGTATGATCGAATATGATTACTCTACGTTGTATATTCACTGCACTAAAAAAATATTTACTTACGAAGGAATGCAAATACACCATTTTAGAACCAATAACATTTGTAGGTTATTTTAGTTGTATATATTAACACAACCTTAACCTTAAAATGTTTAGAAATATAAAGAAAACAACATCATTTAAATTAAACTTGAACATATGATTTAAAAATAAAAACAAAACAGAAGTTAGATTTAATTTTGACTCTTTGATTATTGAGCGGAGCGAGCGAAGCTCTTTGGGATCAACTTCAATGCAAACAATATAACACCATCACTCAATAACGGCTGAACACATTTCAGCCAAACTTAACAAGACTGCTTAGACTAATAATGAGATGGTTTGTAAGCAAACACATTTCAATTAGATAATGCTAATGCAATTTAAAACGAACTTAAAATTTAAAATTTTTAACATTAGGCTTATGGGACTAAAGTAGCTATGACAGTTTTTTTGTTTACAAGAAAAATGTAAACAAGAGAATCATAAGGTATTTCTGAACTTTCTATACTTTTCTTTTAAACGATTTTAAACCATTCCTATGATTTTAATAAACAAGAAAATGCCGTTAAAACATTTTTTTAAGGCACGGAATTCACTGAAAATCGAGAAAATATACGGAACTACTTTCTCAATGCGCGGAGCATAAACAAGGAGCGGAGGGATACGGACCGGTGACTACTTTCTTGGGAACCTATTTGTGTTGCCAGCTGATTAGAAACAGCCAATGTTAGAAATCAGGATTTAATAAGCGATATATCGAACCGCATCGAAATCGGTATTTAATCCGATAATACCTCATAGGTTATATTATGTTGAATTACATCGATGGTACAGTAAGTTATTACACTTATTGATAAAACGCAGATTGAACACTGGTTTAGGCATGTGGGGAGGTAGGTCGGGGTTTATGAGTATTCGTGACTACATTAAGTGTTTTGAAGTAAGGTTAGATTAGGAAGGTATAGTGTAGGTTATAGGTAGGCGATCGGGTTGTTTATTTGTGTTGCACCATGTAATTTTTATCTTTTGGAATGGAATAGTTGGTTAAGGTTAAACGGGGAAACGATTTCAAAAATGCTTGCATATGGTCTTAACTTAACAAACCATCTACAGTACTCTAGCTTTGACTTTGTATAAAGTCAATGATTCTAGCAAATTATTACATACTGACCAAAAGAAAAGAGAACATTTGGATTTGTACCTTTGACCATAGCAAAACTAACATATAATTATGGAATGTGAAAAGTTGTATATCATTATATACTATTCTGTAATATTAATAATTGTTCGGCAAATCCTCATTTTAATGGCTCGGCTGAAAATGGAATCTGCATTTTGTGAAACAGTAATTTGGTAACAATTCAGTCATTTCAAATGTTGATAACAGTAGCCTATCCTATATAAATACTGTTATTTGATTACCAAGCCACGGACTATACCAACTATACATACGTCCAGTTACAACCGTTGCTAAGTAAACCTGGGCTTATAGAAGTACACTTTTAACCACGGTATGGATAATTGTCTAGGCCTGTCCAGAAGTAGGCTACTAATTTCTAATCATATTATCTACATTGTATATTTAAGGCATGTCTTCCCTTCTTATTATTATTCTGTTTTCACTTAAATCAGCTGAATGCGATGTTTATTTATTACTTATGTTTATGCCTACATTTCAGCCATCTTATTTTATTGTTCAATAAGTAAGACTTTTTGCAGTTTTTACGTTTTTTAACATTGAAATACATGACTGATAATTCAGTTTATTTTAGTCTTTTAAAGGCGTTTTACATTTGAGTCTTACATTAAAATAGCCCTACATTTTTAGTAGGCCTATGTTTTATCTTTGACTATCAAATATCAATACAACTAGACATTCCATCCCCATGTTGAATTTGTAGCCAGCATTTTCATCAAAATCTACTGTATTCAATGGTCAATGGTATTATTAAGGCCAGTATTAAAATGCCGCTAAATCGTCCTAATAATGGCAGAAGACCTACATTCCAGTTACATTACAATC